ACACACAAAATAACAATTACTCTCAAATATTGTTCACAAATCTTTCTCAATCTGTGACAGTGAGCACTTCTCCTTGTTGAGATAATCCTTCCCACCTTAGAGATGGTCATTACACAGCTTGGACATTGTACAGGTTTTGCTTTAGGATGGCCACCATAAAAGGCAACTCGAAAAACGTTCAGTTTTAAAGGAGCTTGCAATTGGCATGGCGGCAACCGAGCTGTTGCCCGTGAATCGAATGTTCATTTCTCTACCGCAGGCCTACCCCAAAGGCATTTCAGAGAATTTGGCAGTACATCCAACAGGCCTCACAACCGCGGGTGACCTGTAACTAATTAGCTAACAACTATCTAACTTTTGACTTGGTTCACACATGTTGTAGTTCACAGATGTTCAAAGATGTTCAGATGTGAGTTAAGCACTGCTAACGTGTGCAAAAGTTTAGTTTTTGGTATTCCAATCTATAAGTTACTGGAAAAAAAGCACAAAAAACAACAACGAAAGAAAACGCACCAACAGCCTGAATTATTATTTTGATACCGACACACACTAGTCTGTGATGTGGTGTTTCTCTGTGTCCCGGTTATGTTTAATTGATTGCTCAAGAAAGGACATGAAATCAGCATGCATCTAAAGGATTTGTCTATGATTATGCTGTGCCTTAATAATTACATGAATTTGACATGTCATGTAGAGCTCTATTTGGCACAATAGGTATTCTTTTTACTTTGGATGTAGTCCTGTTTGATGCTAGCCAGGGTCAGCCTGTGACCAAATATTTAACTTATTTATATCATTTAGTTTAGGCCAGTTTAAAGCACAGAAAGAGACATGTAATGAAGATACTCTTTACCCTGTAGATACCTGTACTCTTATCTGAACTTCTCAGCTTTATGGTGCTTCAGAGATGTGGCTGTAGCATTGAAAGGCAGTTCTTGTGTCATGTTGGTAGGTGTTAACAATCATAAGGCTTGTGTCCAATGTTCACATCCCATTGATGTGTGGTTTTAAGTTCTTCACTGTCTTGAAACACTTAGCTATTTTACTTTTCCTTAATTTATCTTCTCACACAGTAAAAGTCAGAGGAGTATCCAGTCCCAGCTGAGGGGATCTCAGCACCAAGGAACAGGAAGTTTAGGCTTCAGGTTTACTCTCTAAACTCAAAAAAAATATCCTGCACACATCTTTGCTAATAGAATATGCAATTAGGATTTTTTTTCAACATTTGCATTTGAACACGAGGAAATCCTGGCGAACATCATTGTGAGTTTGCAAGTCTTCAGGATGTTCTTCATCACTGAGGGATACAGATGGAGGTAGAGAATTGTAACACAAATGGGGCTTTCTAAAGTAACCCGTCCCTTCGGCTGACGAGCATATTTGAAAGACCGTATCATGTAGGTGAAAGAAAGTTTAGAAGTGCCTGCTTAAAAAAAAAAAAACAACTTCATATGATATGTCTTCCTTATTCCCTAAATGGGTATTTAGGAATTTGTTGCCATCTCCACCTACAAGGAGCTGAGCAATGCACAGTTGTAACAACAACTGGTTGTGGTTCCCCCAAAATTGCCACTATAAGATTATTTTGTCCAGTCAGCTTTCAAGTACCACTCTCCATCTCCATTGTCCCGTCCAAATCTGATTCTGCTGCCATGCCGTTTTTATCAGCGAGGAAACTGCTGCTGTAAGAGTTTGACTCAAGGCGAAGAGATGGGATTTTGGTTTGATTCATCACCACATCCTAGTGAAAAAAAAGCTTAATTCAGGGTGCTGTGTCTCCATCTATCGGCTGAATCTGTTTAACCCTGTCTCTGCCGCACAATAAGCCCCAATAAAAAACACTTATTTATTTGGGACTTCATTCTTTCTGTGACACTACAATTATTTCAAAATCCGTATTAATCTGTCCTTGTCCTTCTCAAACTTGCCGTCAATTACAGTATATTCTTAACACTTTGGTCACGGGTTGTTTCTTTAAATGGGCCGATTTTGCAGGCTGACTGATGTCTGTTACTTACACCTTTTTGTTTTAGACGATGAACAAGGACCTTATGTCAAAAGAAGTAGGTAAAACCACAAAACAAAGCGACTAACACATGTTTGGCGGTGGTTGGGGGGGGCCACTCTTCAACCTGCCTTTGGAAGTAGGACGATAAGAGGCCATAGGAGGGGTTTTTGTTCAGGGCGTATGGATGCTTGACACGGTGTGCTATCCTGGTTGCACAGAAATATGTGCCCGTGTGCTTCAGCGGGTTTGGATTTTCTATGGAAAGTGTGCCATTTTTCAAATCTTCTTTCAAATTACCGAACAATTTGAAATGTTTTCTGAACGGCTCTTCCACGCTGTTGGTTCCGAACTCTCCGTATGCAAATCCGATTAGTGTCAGAGCCGTGTCCTCAGGTGTTTGCATGTACCACAGCATCACTCTGTGGTCCTTCAGGCTTTGTGTGCAGTAAAGCTGAATGGTGCTGGTGGTCCTTTCTATCACATCCAAGGGAAACTGTTCGACCTGGATCTGCCGAGAAAAGCCTGCAGGACAGCAGTCAAAAGTCAGCTTTAGTTTTACAAGCTAATAAAGCCGAACTTTTAACTTACTTTACCTGTGAGGAGACATAGAATTAGAACTGGAATCATCTTTACTCTTTGTCTGACGCAGATGAAGGTCTTGTGAAATGAGGAGGTTGAACTCTTGGCTGCACATGCACATGAAACCCAGCGGAGAAAAAAAGGAAACGATGTTGATGTCACACGATGGACTGAAAGAGCAGCCAGTTTATTTCACAGTAAAATATCCTATTCTGATGGTGTTTTACAAAAGCCACGAGCACCTCTAAAATTCCAAAATATCTACAGTTTTCTATGGTCAATTAAGAAAGAAAACAGACTCTGAATTGAATAATAATCAATCAATAAATACGAATGAATGCCATTAAGGTTTTCTGTTTTATACCATAGTGAGTTATAATGTTTTAAACCACAGCAGATAGTATCTGACACTATTTTTTACCCAATTTCTTATCTAAACCTTTTGAAAAGTAAGAATTCACGAGCAGTTTTGATTACAAGAGAGCTGTTCTTTGCTTGCACTACCACTCAGATCTAGAGGGATTGTAAGATCATCTTTATGTGACCCTTCCGTTATCATATCTTCAAAGTACCACTATCCAATGACGTTCATAGCTGGGTCTCCAGGTGAGCACCAGAGCATGAGCCTGTGGTCAGTTCTGCCCTGCCAACAGATATTCTGTAATTTTCCACGAAGATTTAGATTTTTCTCCAAGATTTAGATTTTTTTTTTTTTTCAACGATTTTGGTTGTTCATTGGAGGGTTCTGTGTGGCCCTGCAATGAACTGGTGACCCCGTTGGGAAACAACTGTGTAGAAAATGGATGGAAGCAACATTTTCTGTGGAACACATGCAGTCGAGGGACTTGGAAACACTCATACAGCGTTACTAATAAGAAAACTTTCTGTCACCAAATAAAGGAAGCACGTCAGTCATTAATGCAGAAACAGCAGATCAGGTCAGAGTGCCTGTTTCCCTGGACTGTGGATATATATATAAGTCGCATTCTCTATAACTGTAGCACTTATGAACGGTAGCGCCCTCTACTGGTCACATGCTTAAGTCCAGGTCCATCTATCCATTGCGTACAGTGTTTATTCCCAGAAGCATTGCAGGGGGGTCGAGCCTGTACCATGCATGAGGGCAGATTATATTTATAATTGTGGACACATGGGTCTACCTGATTCAGCAGAGACTTCGAAATTCACATAGAAGTGTCATTTGACAGGATTCTGTTGCTTAGATAGCTACTATCTTTACACTGAAGGTTTTGCCTGAGCAGTGATTTTTCAGGAAGGTCATAGTCTGTCCAGTTTTGATTGAAATCGTGATTACAAAGTGGGTTGTTATTGTTAAAGTTGAACAGAGGTTCAACCCTGCACAGTGCGACTAAGAGAAAGACAATCCATTGCATGAAATCCTCACAATTGAACATATTTGATTAAACCTTCATCAATATCAGTCTACGTTGAATCCACAGAAAACCGAGTTATGATTTGATGAGAGCTTTCATAGAGATGCTCATCACATTAGTTTGAGCTATTTGGTTGGTTACTCCCCCGAAAGAGCCTCCCTTTTTTAATGTAAAAAAAGAAAAGAAAATCAGATTATTAGAGTGACTTGATACAGGTGCAAAGGCCCCTTGGGCTGTAACACACAGGAGCAGATGTGGAGGTTTTTGTGATGAGGAGAGGAAATATGTAGCGTTGTGTAGACTCGCAGCACAAAGAAATAACACACTGCTGTTCGGGGCGAGAGGTCCAGTTTTTAAGGTGCAGGTTTTGCCTTTATCGGCATTCCCCTCCACTGTCACGTCTGCTCCATCTTCAGGATTCCATATGTCTACAAACATGTGTCCCAGAAACTGAAGCTGCCCTTGATCTATTTGTTTGTACCAGAGGATCCGATTGTAGCCCTGAATCCAGTGTGAACAGTTTATTGTGGCAGATTCTCCTGGGTTTTTCAAGATGTGGACAGGACTCTGGTCAACATGGTCGTTCAAAGAAGAATCTGTGGAAAAGTTAATGAACACCCGAAGATGTGTTAAATGTGACAGGATGACAGAGATCATTGCGGAAAGAATTTGCAACCCATTACTACAGCAATCTCTTTGCTCTTATGAAAACAAGGTTTTTACCTGAAAAGAGAAAAAGAGTGAAGCTCAAGCAAAAAAAAAGGATCATTGTGATGTGCCGCGTTTCCCTCACAGTATGGGGCCGAGCACTGCTGGCTTTCGCCTTCTAGCTCCTTCAGAAAAACTCATCTAAGACAAAAGGAGGAAGCTTTTTAAGGTGGGCGGTGTCATGGTAGACCTACCTCTGCTGAACAACAACCCAACACAGAACTTTTTCAGAGAGGACAGCACTACCCCTAAAATATAAATGCTTCAAACCTGTGATAAAACACCTGAAACGTTTCTTTAAATCCATGGTAGGGGAGTTTTATGATCAGTCTGAGACAGAACATGCTTTATTAGGAGAGGGGAAATGAGCAGACATTAAGGGTTTTCATTCAAATAATCAGAACATCACCTGAAAACAGAGAACAGTTCAAAAGAATGCTGAGATATTGAACACTCATACTGTCTCTATGGCCCGTAATAGTTTGACACTGGAAATGTCTCCCTTTGCCTATCAGAGGAGAATCTACTACATTCAAATGATTAGTCCAGTAAACCATACATGCATTAAACCATTCCCGTATATTATGTTACTTTACGTTCCTCAACAGTGAGCATGTAAGTACTCGTATACTGCCACCTTATGAAATGGGGAACTTCAGGTGCAGAGATCTCTATCATATGAGAGGCAGACATTTATTAAACCATGAAAGGCAGGTTTTTGTTTGGAGGAGGAGTGATATGAGCCAGTGTGGAACTTTGCAGCACAGTAGTACACCGCGCTGCTGCTCAAACTGAGCCCTTCAACTGTTAATATGCATTTTTGGCCTGTTGTTGCTCCTCCATCCATCTTCACACTCTGTCCGGCCTCTGGGTACCCATCCTTGTAATGCATATATCCGAGGAAGAGCAGCTGTTTCCCCGACTGCTTGTACCAAAGGATTTGGTTGTAGTTTGGGATAGTGTGTATGCAGTAGATCTGAGCTGTTCCTCCTGATGTGCTGTGGATGTTACCTGGAACCTGATGGACCAGGTTACTGAAAGAAGAACCTGGTGGCCAAACAAATACCAGAAATATGATGCAAGTATGGTAGATAGGTATATATATGTAGGTAAATTAAAAAACAAACAAACAACAAAATACCTGAAAGTAGAAAATGATTCCAAAAATGCAAAGATATAGAACAATCATATTGTATTTATTCTGGGATTGTCTGTGGTTGAAATATATTCCTAGCGTATCAGTAGTTGCATTGACTACTTCATAACTTCTTTCTGGATAGACCATCCTTTGGTTCGAATAGCTTTGGGGTGGAGCTTGAGACAGCCCCCAGAAGTAAGTCTGTGTAAAAATGCAGGATATCTTATTTCATAAGTTATGCAGGTGCAAGCTGGTGGAAGAAACCAAACACAAACACAAACAGGGGTGTTAGGGGGTTTTTGTGCCTGGGAACGGAGATGTGAAGCACTGTGGTAATCGGCAACACAGAAGTAAACCGCACTGCTGTTCACCTCGAGGTCCTCCACTGTTATCGTGCACACGCGGCCTTTACTCGAGCTCCCGGTTATCGCCGCTTTTACTCCTTTCTCTGGAAATCCCAAATGAGAATTCATGTATCCCAGGAGATGAATCTGGTTTTTCATTTGCTTGTACCAGAAAATTCTATCGTAGCTGTTAATCGAATGCGAGCAGTTGATGACGGCTGCCTCTCCGGGCCTGTGGAGTGCGTCAGCTGGAGTCTGATGGACTTTGTTGCTCATGGAAGAGCCTGTTGAAAAGGTGTCATCAACATCATAGTCCATCATAAACACACCTTTTTATTTAGATCTTAAAGAAAAGGAGCTTTACCTGAAACAAGCATGACATGTAAAGACATGCAGAAGACGAACATGTTGCTTCTGATTGAGTTCAGGACCAGAGCAGTTTGTGTCGCTCTCCCATAACAGTACACACTGACATGAGAAAACCCCGTCCACGTGGTGTTCAAATAACTTGTGAGGATGGGTGCGACTTTGTGCTTCAACTTCCTTCAAAATGCAAAGCCAACCAAGTGCCACTTTGTGTTGGAACAGTCTGCTGCCCTCCACAGTTCCACACAGGGAAAGCTGCTTCTGTCCAACCATCTTCCAATCTCAGTTACAGAGGAAAACCTCAACTTCCCACTTCTGATGGTGCGTGAGCTGTGAATTTATGTTTAACAGCACTTCAGGCAAGAACCATTGCCTGAAGTCTTTCTACAACTAAAACAACTTGCAATAAAACATTTCTGATTCCATTTCAATCAAATCTGCCTATGGTGAATTTCCAACATTTTT